CTAAGCCTAAGCCTAAGCCTAAGCCTGAGCCTAAGCCTAAGCCTAAGAAGTTGGTTTCGTTGAGGTTTCGGATTTTGGGACTCAGGGTTGGGGCTTGTTGGAGCTTCGATTTGTTTTTGAGTTTAGGACCCTAAAACGCTGAACCCTATACCCAAAAACCCTAATAAGAGTTACGAGGTTGTGTTTATGAGATCTTCCAGGCGAAGGTCAGGATCCAAATCAACAAAAGAAGGGCAATACGCGGTTTAGAGTTTAGGGTTTAGGGCCCCCCCCCAGCAAACAAAGACCTTCATAGACGCACGGTCCGACGGCCAGAAACGAAGCAAGGGTTTTCGGCTCAGGAGGGTTTAGGGGATGGTTGAGGCTTTAGGCTTTTTTAGGAACCCTCAGACCCTACTTTAGGGTTTAGGGTCCTTTCAACCCTATAGACCTTAAGGCCTCAAGGCAGAAATCCTGAAACTCAAACCTAAACTTTAGAGGGAAGTCCTAAAACCCAAACTCAAAATTAAGAGGGAAGTCCAAAAAAAAACTAAATGTCGGATTTGGGGGGTGTTTCGACAGCCAACAGAGGACGAGCGGGAGCAGTGCGACGACGGAAACAGGAACTCCGGTGATGGCTGCGATACCTGGACGTAGACTTTAGGGTTTAGGGTGTAGGGTTTAGAGTATACCTTACTTGGAGGATCATGGGACTTAGTAAGTAAGGTTATAACTACCTTAATTGGGGTTATAGTTACTTATAAGTACAGTTACCTTATTTATAACTCTAGTTCTAAGTCCCATGATCCTCCAAGTAACCCCAAATAACCTACCTCTTTGAGGATTTGGATAAAGAAATCATAATAGTAAGGATCCCGAAGAAGGCAGGGTTTTATAGGGTCCCGGCAGGGCGTAGGGTTTAGGGTTTGGGTTTCGAGTTTAGGGTTTGGGGCTTAGGAGTGTTGAGCAAAAAGGGTGGTCTAAACCCTAAACCATTAGCACTCGGCTTTGGCAGTGGGACGGAACCCAAGGTAGAAGTGTCGAGGTCCCTGTAGGCGCTGTAGGACGCAACTCTTTATCGTTACAGAGTTGAAGGTTCAGTTCGTGAAGAGTCCTGAAATTCTGAGTCTAGGGCCTCAAACTTCTTGATTCAGATACTTGAAAGCTTTTCAGGGCGCCGGAATTGAAGGTCTGCGGCCAAACTGCTAAGCTGCATTTAGGGTTTAGGGTTTAGGGATACCATTGCCAGTTCTTCCCGAAACCCTAACCCACAGTGCCGTAAACCCTAAACCCTAAACCCTAAGCTCCACAGTGCTCTCATTAACATCGCTGCTAAGCAAAAGTAAGGGCTGGCGGAGTCTGGGTGGCTTCGATACCCGGACAGGCCGTGCCCCTAAAAATAATCTACTGTACGGGCCTTAACAATTAGCATAGGGTTTTGGGCTCCTTTATAGTATAGTTATAATCAGGAACCTAAGGAATAAGATTGGTAATTATTCAGGCTTCTATATGACCGAAATCACACCTCAGAAATGCCACCCCCCCATGTCATCAATCGGAGACATGTCAAACTGACAGGAACATGTTCTTGGATTGCTCAGGAGAACGATTCGTATTCGATTCGGACCATGAGAATTACGAAGCAAAAGGTGCATGTTTTGTTTTGGAGCTTGATCTCGAGGGTAGAAGACATTCCTGCCTTGGATGGATGATGCCACCGCCCTTGAGCCCGCCGTACAACACCCAGCCAGCCCTACACGCCGGCCTAGATTCGTCATATTTGATCATGCAACTGTGTGTTTATGGAGTTATTGGTTTGTACCCTCTTGTAAGTAGCCATCCAGCCACCCACTTACCCGCCCACCCAAGCAGCCATCCATGCATGCATGCATGTATCTTGGCAGAGATATATACATATACATATACATATATATACACACACATACAGAAAGTGTTACACTCCAGCATATATATATATATGTATAATAGAACAAAACAGAATAGATAATGCAATAGAACAGAATAGAATGGCATAAAAGAATATTAAGGAAATAGCTGACATAAAATATAAGATGAAAAATACATAGCAAAACATAGCATAGCATAGCGAAGTTTAGTACAGTATGTTACACGTATATATAGTTTAATTCAATATGACATAAATAATTTGGAGCAGAATATAATAGTGGAGATCAGAACACAACATAACATGTCATGATGTGATGTGAAATAACAGAATATGATGCAACATCAGAGGATATCGTGCATCAAAATACGTACTATG